ACCCAACTCCTGCAGCCGACCCAAAAGGATACCATGGTCAATGGTATCGAAAGCCGCCAAGAGGTCAAGAAGAGCAAGGATGGATGCACTCCCCATAGTATATACTATGAAACTTACAACAACAGGATCTTCTTCATCTTAAAAACAAGTTATGCTTTGCCTTAACTTATGAGCAAGGCATGCAACCTGTCCCAGGATAAGTCCTGGGTTCAAGAAATCATGCCAAGAGAATAATAGTACATGGTGTTCACAGCTTGCTTGGTAGACATGAGGAACACCGGCCATGAGGCTGCTACTGCCCATCAAGGTTTTTTGGCCAAGGAAATGATCCAACTACTTGTAATGGGCATTTCTGACCCTGTGTAACACTGGCATCTTTTTCTCATAGACACCATGGTTTGCACTGGATGCTGCTCCTGCTTGGACCACATTGTCACTTATCTCTTCAAGCAGCTGTCCCGCAGTACCAAAAAGAGGTCTGCCCCATTGACCCAGGAAAGCGATCGGTTCCTACACATCATGCAGCAGCACCCAGAGATGATTCAACAGGTCAGGACAAGGAGTACAGTGCTAGTGGGTTTTTTCAGGGCCAGCTCCTCGTAGCCCTTAAGTTGAGTAGTATATATAAGCCTAAAAAACTTGCCTAGGGTATTTACACACAGGTCACAAAAAGCAAGTCCTCTATCCCCGTGGAATTACTGCAGAACTTTTCATCTCCCCATTTTCAATATTTGCTTGAGGGTGAATTCTCCAGAAAATGTTTGGTCACCTCCAACTCTCCTTGGCCCAGAGGACAATAGTTTGCCAGGACTGTCTGTCAGAAACTGCTTGTAAGCTCATGCTTATGGTAGCAAAGATAATATCTAGCCATCTTGTTTTCTGACAGCCTCTTTTTCTGTTGCCTTTGATTTTTCAAAGCTTCAGGATGCTTTTCAGAGACTCTTGCTTCCACATTCTGTCCAAGATATTTAAGCTTTTTTTTTTTTAATCTGCGCTCAGTCGTTACCGACTCTGCAGTGACTGCTTGGACGA